TGTAGACCACTACGTAGGAATAGGCTAAGTCACCCAGGGCTCGCACTATGACACGTTGAAAAATATAAGAGGCATTTTTTAGCATCACCAGAAATTTATACTGACCCTCTGGGGCATTTTTTAGCATCACCAGAAATTTATACTGACCCTCTGGGGTAACGAATGCTGTTCTTTCTATGGAGTCAGGATGGATCGGTATTTGATAAAATCCGCTGGCCATGTCAAAAGAAGAAAAATATTTTCCGCCTTGCAAGCGATCTATCTGATCAGATATCAATGTCAACGGGTACTTTTCTGAGATTGTGTTTGAATTTAGCTCACGAAAATCAATACACAGTCTGTAGCTGCAATCTTTCTTTTTGACTAATAGCATTGGACTTGCAAATGGCGAATTGCTTGGACGGATCACATTGGATTTAATCATTTGGTCTTTTTTTTCCCTAACTAATAGCTTTTCATCTGAACTGAGCCGATAAGGGCGCATTTGAACAGTTTTATTCTTGTCTATCAAACGAATTTCTAATGCTCCTGTGGTTACGCGTTTAGTTGGGATTCCATTTATAAAATTGTAAGAGTATTTTTGCAATACGTTCTTTAGTTTACATTTATCAATTTCACTTAATTCTATGTTAGTATCAAGTAAATTTTCTAAATTGGATGTATCTTCATGTATAGCATTAATAATCTTAGTTTTGTAAATATTAAATTTGTTTGTTTCGATCATAACACCAAAATCAAGCTGGAATATATCTTGATCAATCATTATGTCATGCTTTAAATAATTGTCTAATACGAAATGGAAAAAAATTTCTAAATTATATTGGGATATTTGAACCGTAGACAAAATCTGCAAATGGCTCTTAACAATATTGTCGCGAATTCCTCGTAGTACAATTAAGTTATTAAATCCTTTTCCAGTAATTTTGTTACTTAATTTTTCTTTTATCAAGGAACACTCGGCACCCGAGTCAAAAAAAAAATTAAAAGGTCTCACCCCTTTGATAGAATAAGCCTTTGGGCTAAAGAACTTGATATATAATTCCACGAACTTCTTGTATTCTCCGATTCCACTAATACTACCTTTGAGGCATACAGAAGCAATATGTGCAGTCTCACCAGACTTGTAGCATCTTTTTTTTTTTTTTTAATACGTTGCTTTTATTTCTTATATTTTTAACTTAACTAACAGTCATATTGACTGATACAGAGTTAGATGGCCCTAAAAATCGATTTCTGGGTTGGGAGGTCGTTGCGTCTCAGGCGGGAAACGCTAAAAACCCGAGTTAATCCCCGAGCGAGATAATTTGGGTACGAAGACAGTTTTTCTTTGTATGATTCTTTTTGCTTCTGGATTTCGTCTTTCACTGCGAGGATGCCCAGATCCCGGTGGATGTTTTCGTTGCGAACATACCAAGGTGCCCCAGTGATAGTACTCAAGATTTTTGATTGTGCGCGCTGTATGATGTCTATGTTGCTGCTGCTCGCGTTTCGCCACATCTGGGAGCCCTACGTCCAGATTGGCTTTAGGACTGAATTGTACAGTAGTGTAGTCCAGGCAAAGTGGCGATCGTGAGTTTATGATCCAGTGGAGGCTGCTGGCTTTTAGTTTTAGGTGCATCTTCTTGCATTCGATGTGCTTACGCCAGGTAAGTCGTCTATCAAGGTGGACGCGTTACTTAGTTACTCAAGGTACGTTACTTAGTAGCTTGAGGGATTTGCATACCGTTTAGTGAAAGCGGAGGCATGTTTGTCTATTAAGAGTGAACGTTAGTCCAATGAGCCAAACTCGGTCGAAAGCTTGAGATACGTCAAGGAAAATATTGCTGCAGTATTCTCGCTGTTCGAAGGCTGAGCGTATTTCGGATGTTAATCTGTTCATTTGTTCGATGTTTCCGTGGTTTATTCGGAAGCCAAGTTGGTGTGCCGGGATAATATTTTGGACAACAAGATAGAAGGCTTATTGATCTGTATAATGACGAAATTGTGTGGTCTTTTTCAGGCTTCGGTATCATTATAATGATGGATTTCTTCCACTTTTTTGGGAAATATCCGAGATTAATGATTCCATTAAATAGTTTGCAGACGACCTCTAGAGCGCATTTTGGAAGTTCGATCAGCATTTTCGGCGTCAATAGGTCACCACCGGGAGCCTTTTTATACCCTTGCAGAGGGTATTATAATTTTGTGCAACGCAGTGAAGGAGACATCTCCGACCCTATAAAGTATATATATTCTTGATCAGGATCACCTCCTGAGTTGATATGAGCATGTCCGTCTGTCCGTCTGTCTGTCTGTCCGTTTCTACGCGAACTAGTCTCTCAGTTTTGAAGCTATCGACTTGAAACTTTGCACACACCCTTCTTTCCTTTGCACGCAGTATATAAGTCGGAACGGCCGGGATCGGCCGACTATATCCTATAGCTGCCATATAACTGATTGATCGAAAATGCTATAACTTTGGTGTTTTTCAAGTTAGAGAGTTTAAATTTTACACGAAAGCTATTTTTGGCAAAATAATACGACATGCCAAGTTTCATAAGGATCGGTCGACTATATCTTATAGCTGCCATATAACTGAACGATCGGAAATGGTATTTGGTAGAAATATCAACTTTCGTATTTTTGAAAATAGATGCTTGGGACTTTTTTTTAGATTTTTTATTTTAGTTAATTGGTTTTATTATGATGTAATCAAAAGGATCGGCCAATTATATCCGATGTTTGCGATATATATCCGGTTTTAACTGCAAGGGTATATCAACTTCGGCTCCGCCCGAAGTTAGCTCTCCTTTCTTGTTTGGTTTTAGCCCTCTTATGACTTTTTCGATTTCGTTCGGCCGGAATGAAGGTACATCTGGCTGAGGGAGGACTCTGGCTGGATTACTGGCAGGAGGAATGAATTTGAGGCTGGGTTTGGCTGAAAGACACTTTGGAGATGTGTGGCGAATGTTTCAGCTCGGTCTTCGTCGCTGCGAGCCCTACATCCCAAAGAGTTTCTTATCGGGATGGTCGTTTCAATTGGGGCGCTAAGATTTGGGTGGGCCACAAGGGGTACTTTGTGCTTGGTGAGAGATTCTGAATGTACCTCAGCTGTGCATTTTCTTCCTGATGGTGAAGAGCCTGGTCGAGTGATCGGGTTGCTTCCTTAAGGCGTTGTTTTGAAGCTGGTGATCTGCTGTTTTGCCAATCACGACGCGTGCGCCTCTTTTCTCGCACGAGGTGCTCGATTTGCTGATTAGATTTGAAGTATTTGTTTCGGTCTACTTCTTTCCCATGAGGAGTAGAGATTTTGGCTGCCGCAACGAGTACTTCTTCCAGGGCGCTCGTAGTGTAGTCGATTTCTGATTCCATGTTAAACTCCGGGGCGAGTTCTATGTGGGCACTCACGTACTTTTTAAATTTTAGCCAGTTCGTTTTTGGCTTCGTTAGGCTGAACGGGTGTTCGGTTATTTCTGGGCTCTGAAGAAGCGTTAGAAGCACAGGCGAGTGGTCTGATGATAAGTCCGAGACTGCTGTGGCACTTATTAGATTGTGAGGTATGTTTTTTGTCACTGCAAAATCAATAAGGTCTGGGAGCTTTCATAGGTCAGTTAGCCAGTGTGTGGGATTTTTAGGGGAAACATAGTCCAGTTTATTTTTCACATTTATAATTGCATTGTACAATTTCCTTCCTTTGGGAGTCACTAGTCACGTGATCCCCAGTGCGTATTTTTGGCGTTGTAGTCTCCTGCAGCTATAAAACGATCCCCTAATGAATTGTAGAAGTCCATAAATTGTCCTTCCGAGATTGAGAAACGACGAGGGCAGTAAACGGCAGCGATTGAAAGGATTCCGTTGCTTGACTGAATTTGTATCGATGTGGCCTGCAAGAAGTTTGTTGCACAACTTTTTTGAAAATGGTGTTTAATGCGTTCTCTGATTAGAACTCCAGTTCCGCCCTGGTCGTTTCCATCTGGATGATCTGTGCGGTAGATTGTACAACCTCTTATTTGAAAGTTGTATTTGCTTGTAAGATGCGTTTTCACCAGTAGCATAACGTCAATATGGTTTTCGGTCAAGAATTATGACAATTCTAGTTTATGCCGTGAGATACCATTGGCGTTCCACTTTAATATTCGTAGAGCCTGAATCCGTTTCCGTTTTCGTTTTGCTGTGTGGCTGTTGTGGGGCCTGTTGAGCGCTTTGAGAGTTAGGCTGAATTGGAATTTCCCTTCCAGATCGTAGAGCATCGGCATACGAGAAGCCGTTAGTGGCGTTTAGTGGACCGAATGAGGAACTCGAATGAATGAGCTTTGGCGAAAAAGACGTCTGGCGTAGTTTTTGACGCAATGTACGCTTTCTGTGGATTTTGGTTGCGCGTGATTGGAAATGGTATAACTTTGGTGTTTTTAGAATTAGAGAGTTCAAATTTTACATGAGAGCTATTTTTGGTAATACGACATGCCAAATATAAGGATCGGCCGACTATATCTTATAGCTGCCATATAACTGAACGATCGTTCCGACTAATATACTGCGTGCAAAGGAAAGAAGGGTGTGTGCAAAGTTTCAAGTCGGTAGCTTTAAAACTGAGAGACTAGTTTGCGTAGAAACAGACAGACAGACGGACACGCTCATATCAACTCAGGAGGTGATCCTGATCAAGAATATATATACTTTATAGGGTCAGAGATGTCTCCTTCACTGCGTTGCACACTTTTGACCAAAATTATATTACCCTCTGAAAGGGTATAAATATATATAAAGATAATTAAATATAGTCACATACCCAAAGTTTATGCGAAATCTTGGTTTTATTTTGGCAGAATTGCAATTTTAATTATTATGTGCTATTGTAGCATTCAGTTTGAATGCTTTCATAAAAACATATACCTTGAATAAAAATCTGAAAAATCAGATTTCACTAAAACGATTTATTAGTCGAAAATCTCGGCTATATAGTAGTTTATTTCTTTAAAATGTTAAGTAATTTTTTTTTTAAATATTTTTCTTTCCAAAAGTTTGCTATTAAATTGGGACAGAAGCGAAAGGAAAAGCGGCTTTCCGCACTTGAAGAGCTCACATGCACGTATAGCATAGAAGAAATGAAAGTTCCAAAAATTCTTGATACTGGCCAACCGCATCCATTACGTGTCACAACCATTTCTACATTAGCAGTTGTTGCAAACAACAGTTCAAAGGAAAATATACAAGCATTCACGCGAAATAATTCAGACGTTAGTGCTGACAATATTAGTAACAAAATAATTAACACCAATGGTCCCGTTTCTAATAATAATAGTGACACCACTACTAACGTGGTTTATATGTTACCATCTGTAAGCACAGATGTTGAGACACATGCGGAACCTGTAGCGTTTTGGCGATCTGAATATGAACGGCAAAGTAACAAAACGATTGCCAATTGTACTAAAAACAAAATTAACAGCAACATTGAGAATCATACTATAAATAAACAATTAATTCAGTCCGACCAATCCTCTAAGCCTTCTATTGATGAAAGTGGGATAATTATTGAAAATTCTAAAGCTAGCTTTGTCGAGAAAGACAAAGATTTGCCACTTGTTGATGTCAACAGACCAATAATAACTATCGGATCTCCTGCAATAAATCGAAATCATTTGAATATTCCGTTTAATGGACCTCATATTCGAGGAATTGACGTTAATACAACTCATAATTCCAATGACATAATACCCATAAATGACAAACTAACTAATGGTCAAAAGTCCCTTTCTTCAATAGGAATTATAAATAGTTTTATGTCAAGTGATCCTACTGAACCATTAAAGTACGCGAAAAGCGGACATCAGCTCATATGTAAACAGGCAACTTCATCATCACAATCTCTTAATGTAAGTAGAAATATATTTTTTATAAAATTGTATTTGTTAAATGTAATATAATTAACAGAAATCACATATATTGGAAACTAATAAGAGACTCAAAAAAGATGAAACCTGCACATTGGAAGTCCAGGAGTTAGAAAAAGAATTAACGCCAGTCGTTGGTGTTAATAAAGTTGCAAAAAAAGAAAACATAACTGACGTAAGATTTGTTACCTTTTTTTAAGCATAATTTATTGTTTTTTAAACATCACAAAACATGTATTGCAATACTATTTCTGCAAACGTGATGGAACTACTATCGTTTCTACCTCAAATATAAAATATATACCTAGGGTTTTCGATGCGTTTTATACCAGGTTTTCGTAGAGTACTACAAAGTGCGAATTTCTGTAGTGAAAGTACTGAGAGGTTTTTTGAAAAACTAATGCCAAAATATTTCTTAATAGTTTGAATATATTTCTGATAATATATAACTGAAAAGAAAAATTCCGCCATTTCCCAATTTTTGAGGATTTATACCAGTGGTGGGCAAACTCCCATTTTACATAGCTTGCGAGTATAGGGTAGGAAATTCTGCCGCAGCGTTGCCGGCACACTGACAGTGTGAGCACTCTCAATTGCTCTCATTTTGGCCTATTTGACAGCACAAACTTAAAAATTAAAATGTTTCCACTGAGAAAAATTTTGTTCAGAAATTGGGTTGGAAAAAGTTTTCTTCATGGAGAATATAGATAGGGAAGCGTAGTTTTTTATTTGTTTAGGAAATGTTGCTAGCAAAGCTTTTTTTAAAATAAAATACTCAATTTTAGTGCCCATTCCAACTTTTGAATTAAGGAAAAATGAAATAAAAAAATACGTTTTTTTCGCTCAGTGAATTCTCTGCTCTCATTGTTTTTCTCTGCTACGAACACACTCAAATTTTAAACATGTGTTAGTTTTTCCCCCCACTGATTTATACCCATATATACATACATGCACCTTTTCCCGTACAAACTCGCTCAAATTTTGAACGCGTGGATTTCGAAGACTACAAGCGATACAACTATCAGATTTGGAACTTGGGATCGTTTGATATCCGCGCAAATCAAGTTTGTGCCAAAATTTTGCCACGCCCACTCCCGCGCCTAAAACAGAAATTTGGTGTTAGCGCCAGGGGTGGAAGAGATGAGTACAGGGTATAATATAGCCGGGAAACTCTACTATAGCCGTCCTGTTTTGTTTCTTTTGAGTTCAGCCATGTTGCTTGTATATTTTAGTTTTCTAAGCACGGCCTGTTCTTAGAAATTTATCACAAAGACAGGTGTTCTTTCATAGTTATTTGATATAACTTTGTTTCAAAGTTTTAAAAATAGTTAATGTATGGTCAATAACTTCAAAATAATTAATCTAATTAAAACATACAGTTGCAAAATAAAATAATATTACAAAAAAATAAACAAGAAAGGAAAGCTAACTTCGGGCGGAGCCGAAGTTGATATACCCGTGCAGTTAAAATCGGATGTATATCGCAAACATCGGATATTGTTGGCCGATCCCTTTGAGAATATCATATAATAACCAATTAATTACAATAAAATCCAAGAAAAAGAGTTGCTATATGACAGCTATAAGATATAGTCGGCCGATGGTTATAAAATTTGGTAGGTCGGATAAACTGACCAACAATATATAGGGTACTAAGTTCTAGCTTTCTATCTTCAAAATCACGAAAGTTGGGTCATTTCCGATCGTTCAGTTATATGACAGCTATAGAATATAGTCGGCCGATCCTTATGAAATTTGGCATGTCGTATTACCTAAAATAGCTCTCATGTAAAATTTGAACTCTAATTCTAAAAACACCAAAGTTATACCATTTCCGATCAATAAGTTATATGGAAGTTATAGGATATAGTCGGCCAATCCCGGTCATTCCGACTTATATACTACGTGCAAAGGAAAAAAGGGTGTGTGCAAAGTTTCAAGACGATAGCTTTAAAACTAAGAGACTAGTTTGCGTAGAAACAGACAGACGGACATGCTCATATCAACTCAGAAGGTGTCCCTGATCAAGAATATATATACTTAATAGGGTCGGAGATGTCTCCTTCACTGCGATGCACACTTTTGACGAAAATTATTTCACCCTCTGCAAGGGAATAAATAAATAGAGACTTGTGGAATTAAGTTGGTTATTTATTCAAATTTTCCAAGAAAATAGTTTATAAAGCCATAAACTAGTGAAACACTTTTCAAAATTTAAGGGGACCCCCCCATTCTCGGTTTTAAAAAATCGATTTTTTTTTTAAATTTAATTCGAACTTGTAACTATTCAAGAATGTTCCCTGAAAATTTCAAGTTAAAATTTCAAAAACTCTTGAAGATATAGCCGATTTATGGTGGAAGCCTCAGGCGACGGCGAGAGCCATCTCAAAACTTTAAACGCGTTTTTATCGAAACAGTGTTTTTACTGGCGCGTTTTGACTGGCGCTTGAGGTTACTCAAAAACTATTAATCCAATCGGTTCCAAATTTTAACACGTTATTCTATACATATATAGCTCTCGTATGAACTAGGATAAATCGAATCGGTGAAGATCTTCTTTACTTTTCAACTCGATTTGTGGCTGAAAAAATGGAAATTTCCAAAAAAAAATTTCAAAGATCCACCATTTTGTTAATTTTTGAACGAAGTTAATAATCCTAGTTCATACGAGAGCCAAACATGTACTCTTTCTAATCCCGTTGGAATTTTTGGATTCCGATGTTCCAGTGAGCGGAAATCACATGCGCCGCCGAAAAGAAGGGCTTTTCTTTGATCACAAAAAAACAACAACAAAAACAAAACAAAAAAAAAATTCTGTGAAATGATTTTCTTCCTTTTTGTGTCTTAATATATGTAAGCACAGTTACAACCCTAAAAAATAATTTATGTTTATTTGCCAGCCCATTGAAAATCGTCAAAATTTAAAATCGAGAATGGGGGGGGTCCCCTTAAGCAATATATTTGAGCTTACAGCACTCTGTAAGTCAATATAGTACTGCAAGGTAGGTGGTGGTATAAAACGATGGTTTAAACAGTTCGCTAATATCCAAAGAAAGTTGATCTATAACTCTTCATCCCAGGAAATGACCCACCTTTAAATGGAAGAAACATTACCCAGAGCATATAGTTTTCCAAGTAACCTCCAAATGGCACGCCTCGAAAATGGGGAACTATTGTATGCTCAGGTGGGCGCAAAGTAGTTATTTTTTATTGTATATTATATAGAAGTCCAAATAAATTATACTAAAACCTTCGTACAACACAAAAATGATTAAGAACGAGGGGTACCGTTTCTGTTTCTTGTTTCTTTTTCTAATTCTTACCACCACTAATTGGCTTATTTTCAGCTTTTCATCAATAGCACGCGTGGAGAATCCTTGTTTAATCAAAGATACAATGCTGTTTTCCTTATCTGTCGGTATTTTCTTCATTTTTGAGCAAATTTAAATGAAAATTTGTAATCAATAAAGGAAACAAACGTTGACGTGTCGCTCTCTGAGTTCTGACGATGAAAGGTAACTTATTGTAAAGTCCCAAACTTCTATCTTCAAACATGATACAATTATAATGTATCATGTCTTCAAAAACACCAAAGTTGGTATTTTTACCAAAAACCATTTCCGACCGTTCAGTTATATGCCAGCTATGGGATACAGTCGGCCGATCCTTATGAAATTTGTTATATCGTATTATTCTGCTAAAAATAGCATTTATAGAAAATCCGAACTCTCGAACTTTAAAAACCCCGAAATAAAACCATTTCCGATCAATCAGTTATATGGCAGCTATATGATATAGTTGTCCGATCTGGCATATCCGATCACTAACCTATTATTTTAGGATAAATATAAAAAAATGTTTTGCCAAGTTTCAAGTCCCTACCTCAACTAGAAGTATTTTTAGCCGCCTCCCCATTTCTGCTCTGCTCCGAGCTACGAAAAGTTCAAAGCTATATGTAGATTTAGCAATAGCAGAAAAAAACAAGAAAGGAAAGCTAACTTCGGGCGGAGCCGAAGTTTATATACCCTTGCAGTTAAAACCGGATATATATCGCAAACATCGGATATAGTTGGACGATCCTAAAGGGAATATGAATATATAATCCAATTTATTACAATACATAATCTAAAAAAGTCCCAAACTTCTATCTTCAAACATACCAAAGTTGGTATTTCTACCAAAAACCATTTCCGATCGTTCAGTTATATGGCAGCTATAAGATTTAGTCGGCCGATCGTTGTGAAGTTTTGGTAGGCCGGATAAACTGACCAAAAATATAATCTGTACCAAGTTCCAGCTTTCTATCTTCAAAAACACGAAAGTTGGGTCATTTCCGATCGTTCAGTTATATGGCAGCTATAGGATATAGTCGGCCGATCCCGGCCGTTCCGACTTATATACTGCATGCAAAGGAAAGAAAGGTGTGTGCAAAGTTTCAGGTCTATAGCTTTAAAACTGAGAGACAAGTTAGCGTAGAAACAGACAGACGGACATGCTCATATCAACTCAGGAGGTGATCCTTATCAAGAATATATATACTTTATAGGGTCGGAGATGTCTCCTTCACTGCGTTGCACACTTTTGGACAAAATTATAATACCCTCTGCAAGGGTATAATATTCTGTGCTCCGCGTAGCCGTAGCAAAAAAATCGAGAGAAATTCCAACTCGGTGAGCCAATTTTTACAGGACTCTCTTGTGGCCAAAACTCTCTTGGTACGAAATTCGGATTATACGGTGGATGCAAAAAAAATCCAATCCGAGCTCCCGGATCTTCTGGCGCGTCACCAAAGATGTGTGTGGCCTGGCGTTGTCCTGGTGTAAGACAATTCGGCCTCTATTGAGCAAAGATAGCCTCTTTTGCATGAGTGATGCATTCAAGCGGTCCTGTTGTTGGCAGTACAGGTCCGAATTGAGCGTTTGGCCATAGGGGAGCAGCTCATAGTGGAGTCCCAACAAACTCACAGGAGAACCTTCCTGGGCGTCAACCCAGGGCGTTTCAACCACGACCGTTTGTGCTGACCCACTATTCATCGCCAATTACCGGGTCAAAAACGGGTCGATTTTGTTGCGGGTCGGTCAAAAATGTTTTTTTTTTGCGTCAAGTCCTGTCACCCATACGTCGAGCTTCTTTTTGAATCAAAGCTTCTTCAAATGGTTTGATGACTCATGCCCAGCTTTTGGCTGATGCTACGTCTGCTACTATGCCTGTCTCTTTCGATCAATTCAGCGATTTTTTAGCAATTTTTTAGCTACGTCTGCTACTATGCCTGTCTCTTTCGATCAATTCAGCGATTTCAGGCATTCCGGAGCGTGGCGCATCTTTGACCAGCACTGCACCAGAATGAAAACATTGAAACCATTTTTTTGCGGTGAAAATGGAAACTGTATCGGGGTCAACTGTAAAATGGGCCAATGTGGATTAAATTTGTTTTTCAGAAATATTTATATTAACTATAGAAATAGTTTGGCACTGAACATTTTTCAAAAAACCTTTCTGCACTTAATTTTGAAACAAAAGCAGTACAAAACTAAAAAGAACGATTATAGTTGAGTTTCCCGACAATATTATACCAGGTACTCATTTTTTCCACACACACTCTTCCTTACTTTTAAAATTCTGGATTCTTATGTCATAATAAAACCAATTAATTACAATAAAATATCTAAACAAGAAAGGAAAGCTAACTTCGGGCGGCGCCGAAGTTGATATACCCTTGCAGTTAAAACCAGATATATATCGCAAACATCGGATATAGTTGGCCGATCCTTATGAGTATATGATATTATAAACCAATTTATTATAATATAAAATCTAAAAAAAAGTCCCAAACTTCTATCTACAAAAGTACCAAAGTTGGTATTTCTACCAAAAACCATTTCCGATCGTTCAGTTATATGGCAGCTATAAGATATAGTCAGCCGGTCGTTATAAAATTTGGTAGGTCGGATTAACTCACCAAAAATATAATCTGTACCAAGTTCAAGCTTTCTATCTTCAACAACACAAAAGTTGGGTCATTTCCGATCGTTCAGTTATATGGCAGCTATAGGATATAGTCGGCCGATCCTTATGAAAGTTGGCACGTCAAAAAATTTTGCCAAAAATATTTCTCGTGTCAAATTTGAAATCTCTAACTCTCAAAACACCAAAGTTATATTATTTCCGATCAATCAGTTATATGGCAGCTATGGGATATAGTCGGCCGATCCCTGCCGTTCTGACTTATATACTGCGTGCAAAGGAAAGAAGGGTGTGTGCAAAATTTCAAGTCGATAGCTTTAAAACTGAGAGACAAGTTTGCGTAGAAACAGACAGACGGACATGCTCATATCAACTCAGGAAGTGATCCTGATAAAGAATATATACTTTATAGGGTCGGAGACCCTCCTTCACTGCGTTGCACACTTTTGACCAAAATTATAATGCCCTCTGCAAAGGTATAACAAGAAAGGAAAGCTAACTTCGGGCGGAGCCGAAGTTTATATACCCTTGCAGTTAAAACCGGACATGTATCGCAAACATCGTTCGTTCCGACTTATATACTGCGTGCAAAGGATAGAAAGGTGTGTGCAAAGTTTCAAGACGATAGCTTTAAAACTGAGAGGCTAGTTTGCGTAGAAACAGACAGACGGACAGACGGACATGCTCATATCAACTCAGGAGGTGATCCTGATCAAGAATATATATACTTTATAGGGTCGGAGATGTCTCCTTCACTGCGTTGCACACTTTTGACCAAAATTATAATACCCTCTGCAAGGGTATAAAAATAGTTTGGCATCAAAAGTTTTTCAATCAAATGTGGGTTCTCATCAAAAAACTTTTTATACCCTTGCAAAGGGTATTATAATTTTGTCCAAAAGTGTGCAACGCAGTGAAGGAGACATCTCCGACCCTATAAAGTATATATATTCTTGATCAGGATCACCTCCTGAGTTGATATGAGCATGTCCGTCTGTCCGTCTATCCGTCTGACCGTCTGTCCGTCTGTCTGTTTCTACGCAAACTAGTCTCTCAGTTTTGAAGCTATCGACTTGAAACTTTGCACACACCCTTCTTTCCTTTGCACGCAGTATATAAGTCGGAACGGTCCGGATCGGGCGACTATATCCTATAGCTGCCATATAACTGATTGATCGGAAAAGGTATAACTTTGGTGTTTTTAGAGTTAGAGAGTTTAAATGCCATAAAATGAAGAAGATAGAAGTTGGCTAGTTTTCCCACCGTTAAATTATTTTCCTCGGGAAAAATTTTCGGGATTTCTCCCATATTCGCATGTGATTTTGTTTTTCACATATACTACTGTGGGTAAAGAGTAAGGTAAATTTGTTTATAAAATGAAAATTCTTTATTTATTCTCCTGAATCAATTTGATCCCCTTCAAAGTTATCCCCTCCCCATAAAATACACTTATGCCAACGTTTTTTCAATTCCTCGAAACAGGCCTTAGGTATAGCCAATAGTCCTTTCCGGTATAGCCATAAGCGCCATCGGCGATTCCACTTCTATCACCTCAATCGACTCAAAACGCGTTCCCCGGAGTGGTCACTTGAGTCACACAGAGCCAAATCAGGAGAAAACGGTGGTTTCGGAACGATATCGGAAAGAACTAGTCCGCCATCTTAAGCCCGCAAATTTTAAATTGAAAATTCGTCTTACTTTTAGCCCACAGTAGTATTTTAGACATGGCGACCATCAATTAGTATTGGCTCGGCTTGTCCGTGGGAAAAGCTCGGTGCTTTCATACACAATTCAATTCTAAATTAAGCCATATCACTTCCTATAATGACATACTTGATACTCTTCACCAAACTGCATGACTTCAAATTTAAAATAAGAAAGGAAAGCTAACTTTGGGCGAAGCCGAAGTTGATATACCCTTGCAGTTAAAACCGGATAAATATCGCAAAAATCGGAAATAGTTTGCCGATTTTTATATACATATAACCAATTCATTACGATAATCTAAAAAAGTCCCAAGCTTCTATCTTCAAGAACACTAAAGTTGGCATTTTTACCAAATTCCATTTCCGATCGTTTAGTTATATGTCAGCTATAGGATATAGTCGGCCGATCCCGTCCGTTTCGGCTTATATACTCCGTGCAAAGGAAAGAAGGGTGTGTTCAAAGTTGCAAGACGATAGAAACAGACAGACACATGGACTGTTTACTGATCAGTAGACGGAACTGGAAACTCAGAAATTAAACTACTGATGTCTTCAGGCATGAGGTAATTCACGGTTACGCCACTCGACTGAATATATTCAACAACGTGTGAGCACAAATACCTGTAATGTGGTAATAAAGATGATTAATGACTTTAATTTTCGTTTAAACACACTTTTAATCTCATAAGGATGTATTGTATTTTGTCCTTGCAATAACAACGATGGAATTTTTTGCTACCTTGGATTACATTTTACGTAAAAAAAAGACACGGACGTCCATATTCACGCACAAAAATGATAGCATACATAGATCATGTTTGTTTTGTTTCATGTAACATGGACTACGTCATCAAACAATACGATTAAGAATCCATCGAGCTAACGTTTTTATTTGCTTTGGCTTCTGTATTAATTAGATATTTATTCTTTAATAATACATAAATTATGTTCTTAATAACAATGAGCATAATATCAACATTAGGGTCGTATTCTGGAATGCTAGTCGCAGAAATGATCGTGGTCTAAATGTTCTCGCAGTTCTCGAAGAACTTGTTAGCGTTGTAGGGCAATTCTTTTATGTCAGCTATGAATCAATGCGTTTGTGATTGACGTAACTGCGCCATGCTCACACGCGCACTTTCATTACTTCGATTTTTTTTGGCCTGATCTTCGTACTCTTCTATCTTGCATGGCTGTAGAGTTGACCGCGCAAGATAGAATTGATAGTCGTTGTTCGAAGACTCAAATTGGCGCCTATTCGTATTTTAGCATTTTTCAGCCCCCTAATCCAGGGGCATATAAAAGTTCTCTGCCGCATACACATATGTACGTAACGTTACGTTCTAACCAAAATTTTTGTCATTGATAGTTTTCAATGACGGGTAATAAAAAGCAGAATTTAATTATTGTACGTTATATTTTATTTATACTGCAGGCAGATGAAACTGGGATCCACCATTGTGATCATCCAGTTTATGGTGCTAAGCAGTGACTATTAATATGGACCAGTGGTGTCATTTCCGCTTTTTTCCCGTCAGATCTGGGTTTTTTTGAAGCGTGATTGCGGGAAAAATATGAAAACAGCGGGCAGCGGGAATTCTGGCTTTTTGAGCAAATTTACGCAGCTTTTTTTTTTTTGTTTACTTTTTGATGCATTCTCTGTTGAAAATATTTTAAAAATCAAAAAGAAACAAATCTCTCCAATCCTTGAGTATTTTGGTACTCCTAATATAGATAAAATTTAACGACTGTACAACGGCATAACCATGGTAGAATGGGAAAATGTCGATGATACTGTTAAGTTCTGGGCTGCAGTTCTTAAATATCGGGATTCTGGCGGAAACTGCCGTTTTCAGGAATTGGCTTCAGTTGCTCTGCAAATGCAGTCCTGCCTTGGTCGAATGCCGACGTCGAGCGGGTGTTCAGCCAAGTACATTTAATAAAAACGAAAATTCGAAATAACATGAGCGTTGAAACGTTAAACGCTATACTGAGTATAAGGTCCATATTTTAATTTGTATCTTAAAATTATAAATTAATTTACTTAAAATTTAAGGTACGGGCTGCGTCGACACAATATGTGCTGTTTTAACTATAATGTACCACCCAGCTGCCTATCTACAATTGAAGACAAGAAATTTTATCCAACTGATGATGATGATAATATTGACGACATCTTAAATATAATATAGATCTTAATTTTTGTACATTATTGTTTTTTTTTGGTTTCTTTGTAATGATATCCGTTAGAGAATTACCCATATATTTTATGGCAAGTGGAGCTGAGGTCTTATTAGTGAATAACATGCAGTACATTGCCTTATAAAAATCAGTTTTTTTCTTAACTTTTTTTCTCTGGTATTCCGCTTTTTTTAGCTTTTTTTTTTCGTTGATCCAGCTTTTTTTGCTCAGAAAAAAGTGGCACCACTGATATGGACAGAGAGTGCGGCCCGACTAGGCATACGCGAACCTAAAGCTCTCGATAGCGGAGAGGGCGGCCCGAAATAGTAATTGGGAAGCTAAAGCTCCCTTAAAATAGGCCCGTTGAAGTCGAGCGGCCGAGAAAGAGTCGGCTTGTTTTCCCTATTCTCCTCAATCGTGCTAATCCGAATGCATTTTGTTGTTGGAGTGCCGAAAGCTTTTCACTGCAAGAAAATCATTTTTGTTTTTGTTTGTGCCAAAATATCGACCTGAAGCGATGAATTTCTTCTTGGCAGAACATTTTTTTTTAAGTAAGAGACTCGGCATAATTTGTCGTAGTAAAATAAAAAGCTGTTGTAAAAAGTGTAGGCCCTTTTTTTAATTGCTGTAAAAGAATGTATTTTCTATTATAGTGATTTTTTTAAACCCCTTGTGAATGTTACTATAATTTTATTTTTCAATGGGCCCACATGGATGGGAAAAAAATTTTGGCACCAATGTATTGATGATTTTTTTCATTGGTATGGGAGTTTGCTCTTCCGTATGCAGAGCTTGGGTATCACTGAACTAAGGCGATATATCCATACTTTAGCTTAATAATTAAACTATGACTAATTCAGCGGCTGCTGCCTGACCCGACACCCTACTTTATGTTATTCTTTACTTTAGCCATTCCAGAGGATTAAATTTGGATGAATTAATTAATCCCCAATGAAAATATACGGTGATAGCCAAGCGGAAATTAAATCGATCGGTTCGATCACCAGTCGGTCAGCCGACTTTAAACAATAGGCTGGTTCCATATAACTGAACAAACGCGATATTTGAGACATTTTTGACACATATCCGGTCCGATACGTACCGGTAACTTTCAACCTATCACCATAACACCTAACTTCAAGGGTATTTTATATTCGTCTCCGCCCGAATTAGCATTTCTATATTTTTTTTACATCACCGCGAATTCAGTGAATTGGGAATTTTAGGCGAACTTAGTCGTACTTCGCATTCCGTTCATTCATAGTCCCCTCGGAAATTAAAACATGGCTCTTGTATGGGTCGTTAGGTCTATTAAGGGCGGAAACGGAATCTTCTGAATGGATTTATACTTAAAGGTAGTAAAGGTTCATATTAGAGGTAATGCATGTATTTCTGGAGAAAAAGTTTAACAGATGTTTTAATATTTTATTCACATTTTAATAAATATACATATTTTTTCAGGACTCTAAAAAAATTGGTTCAGTTTATGGAGATGATGTTGCATATTCGGGAGTACCTATTTCAACAATTTTAAGCGGGCAGAATTTAAAAACTGAAAGTTCTACTGTTCAAACACAAGTAAAAGCTGTTATTTCAAATGTATCAGCTTCTATGACATCTGTTATTGCACCTGATTCAGAACTACAGAAACAAAAAAAATTAAATATATCTCCATGTGATACACGTCACCATTTAGGAATACGCGTAACTTCTCCAGAGTCAGGAAAAGTAAGTTTATACCTGTATCATTATTATTTTCTTTTAGTAATCAATAAATATATATTTTGTTTAAAGAACTCTTTAGATTATAAGATGTTTCAAACCTATTTCCTTGAAATGTATGGGGTACGATCAGCACATGCATAGGCAGAAATTGCAAAAGGTCTTTCCTTATACATTTTTTTTTTTAATTGTCAAAAAAAAAAAATAGTAATACATTTATGAAAATAAATTCCTTCGATCCTAACTACAAATAACCTCTTTGCCACGCCTTCCTGCATAAAATAAATTCTTTCGAAACAAAAGCCAGTTTATAATAGAGGCCTGCATGAATACATTATTATTGCAATGTATAATATTACTATAATAGAGGGGAATGAAATAGAGCAAGAGATATAACAAATTGAGTGAGTGGCAATGTGGGAGTAAGAAAGCATTGCCATATTGCCCTTCTCTTTTTTTTTTGAGTCCGAGTGAGAGTGGGATGAAAGTATAGTGCTATCAGAATAACAAACGACGGCTTTTCGGAATGACGAATGCAGCCGAACGACTCAAATGGTTTTTGCCACACTATCCATTCGTTTATTTTTTTTTTGGTAAGGTGCATTACAAATTTGGAAATAACAATAATAAAAAATTAATAACTAAATTTAATTCATAAAAATTTTCATTTTTGTAAGAATGTTAACTTGCACTCTTGATTACTGTTCAACGCTCAATGGTTAACCATTCATACTTATATTATTTAATAAAAATTATGAAAAATTATGTATTTATCTTGTATTTATTATTTATAACAAGAAAGGAAAGCTAACTTCGGGCGGAGCCGAAGTTTATATACCCTTGCAGTTAAAACCGGATTTATATCGCAAACATCGGATATAGTTGGCCGATCCTTATGGGAATAGGAATATCTAATCCAATTTTTAACAATACAAAATCTAAAAAAAGTCCCAAACTTCTATCTTCAAAAATACGAAAGTTGATATTTCTACCAAGTACCATTTCCGATCGTTCAGTTATATGGCAGCTATAGGATATAGTCGGCCGATCCTAATGAAATTTGGTAGGTCGGATCAACTGACCAAATATATAATCTGTAGCAAGTTCCAGCTTTCTATTTTCTAAAAACACGAGTTGGGTCAAAGTTGGGTCATTTCCGATCGTTCAGTTATATGGCAGCTATAGGATATAGTCGGCCGATCCTTACGAAATTTGGCATGTCGTATTATTTTGCCAAAAATAGCTCTCACCTAAAATTTGAACTCTCTAACTTTAAAAAAACCAAAGTTATACCATTTCCGATCAATCAGTTATATGGCAGCTATAGGATATAGTCGGCCGATCCGGGCCGTTCCGACTTATATACTGCGTGCAAAGGAAAGAAGGGTGTGTGCAAAGTTTCAGGACGATAGCTTTAAAACTGAGAGACTAGTTTGCGTAGAAACAGACAGACGGACAGACAGACGGACAGACAGACGGACAGACAGACGGACAGACGGACGGACAGACGGACATGCTCATATCAACTCAGGAGGTGATCCTGATCAAGAATATATATACTTTATAGGGTCGGAGATGACATCTCCGAGATGTCTCCTTCACTGCGTTGCACACTTTTGACCAAAATTATAATACCCTCTGCAAGGGTATAAAAACCAAGCATAACATAAAATCAATTTTAAAAAATTTAAACCACAAAAGTTTATAATAATTAAAATTATGTAATGTTTATTAAAATTTTACTTTTTATACCCTTGCTGACGTTATAAAATTTGATAATTTTGGTCAAAAGTGTGCAACGCAGTCAATGAGACATCTCCGACCCTATAAAGAATATATATTCTTGATCAGGATCCTGAGTTTATATGAGCATGTCCGTCTGTCTGTCCGTCAGTCTATCCGTCTGTCTGTCTGTTTCAACGCGAACTTGTCTCTCAGTTTTAAAGCTATCGACTTGAAACTTTGCACACACCCTTCTTTCCTTTGCACGCACTATATAAGTCGGTACAACCGGAATCGGCCGACTAAATCCTATAGCTGCCATATAACTGATTGATCGGAAATGGTATAACTTTGGTGTTTTAAGAGTAAGAGAGTTCAAAGCTACTTTTGGCAAAACATTACGACATGCCAAATTTCATAAGTATCGGTCGACTATTTCTTATAGCTGCCATATAACTGAACGATCGGAAATGACCTTGGAGAGGGTATAATAATTTTCTCCAAAAGTGTGCAACGCAGTGAAAGAGACATCTCCGACCCTAAAAAGTATATATATTCTTTACCAGGATCACTTCCTGAGTTGATATAAGCATGTCCGTCTGTCTAATTCTACGCAAACTAGTCTCTCAGTTTTAAAGCTATCGACTTGAAGCTTTGCACCCACCCTTTTTTCCTTTGCTCGCAGTATATATGTCGGAACGACCGGGATCGGCCGACTAAACACTATAGTTGTCATATAACTGAACGATCGGAAATGGTATAACTTTGGTGTTTTTAGAGTTAGAGAGTTTGACACGAGAGCTATTTTTGGCAAAACATTACGACATGCCAACGACATTTCATAAGGATCGGCCGACTATATCCTATAGCTGAACAATCGAAAATGACCCAACTTTCGTGTTTTTGAAGATAGAAAGCTGAAACATACAGATTCTATTTTTGGTCAGATAATCCAACCTACCCAATTTCATAACGATCGGTCAACTATATCGTATAGCTGCTATATAACTGAACGATCGGAAACGGTTTTTGGTAGAAATACCATCATTGGTATTTTTAAAGATAGAAACTTGGGAATTATATTAAATTTTGTATTATTATAAAATGGGTTGTATTATCATATTCTCATAAGGATCGGCCAACTATATCCGATGTTTGCGATATATATCCGGTTTTAACTGCAAGGGTATATCAACTTCGGCTCCGCCCGAAGTTAGCTTTCCTTTCTTGTTTATTATAATTTTCTCATAAGGATCGGCCAACTGTTTCCGATGTTTGCGATATATATCCGGTTTTAACTGCAAGGGTATATCTACTTTGTCTCCGCCCAAAGTTAGCTTTCCTCTCTTGTTTAAAATACCAAATCAAAAATAATTATTATTTTGGTCAACAAACATAAAAAAATATTAAAACATTTTTTAATAATAAATAAAAACAATTATTTTGTACATATTAAAAAATAATAAATTTATACTTGTAACAGCCCCGGTTTTTTACCTAAAGAATGCATATTTTTGTTATCAAAATTAATTAAATTGCGGTGTAAAACAACTTTTCTAATCATTGATGAATAATGGAAAATAATAATAAAACTCATGTTGTTTTCATTTTTCAACAAAAAACTTTAACAACACATTTATGGTTTTTCGGTTAGTATGAGTAGGTTCCCTTAATTAAAGAATTTTAAAGCGTTACGTTTGAAGTTATTATTATTATTTTTATTTTTATTTTTAGAGACAAAAAAAATAATAAATACCGAGTCTGAAATTATTAGCTAATATTAATTTAAACTTTTTTTTAATAGGGAACCACCGTTGGAGTATCTGTTGAAAATGAAAAAAATTCAACGCAAGATGAAAACGATCATAAAATATTTTTGAGTACAAATGTTTTGTCAAATGGCCAGATATCAGGAGGACATCATCCAATTATCTCTTGTGCACAAACACCATCTATTTCTGCGTGCCCATTTACAATCCGAAACGAAACCGCTAGCTCTGGATTGCCCCCATTATCTTCTGCTTCAAGTGTTTTTATAGAAAACAGCATAAAATCAAATGATAATTTAACAAGAAATAACAACCCTAAAAATTCTTCCAATGGTTCTACAGCTTTTTCTTCAGTTGGAATAACAAAAAACACAGATCCACATAAAAACATTTCTGTTGCAACAGCAACTTTGTCAAATCCTACAGCAAATGGTATTTTAAGTGGTTATTCTACGAGCTCGGCGACATCAGTAATAACAAGTACTTTGCCACGGTCTTCTCCTAATCAAACTACTAAATTGGTATCATCCACTTGTACACCAATCAGCGTGGGAAATTCCACTGGAACGTCAACATCTAACGGTATGTCAATTTTTATACCCTTGCAAAGGGGATTACAAGGTGCGTTCCAAAGTAAAAAGGACTTTAAAAAAAAAAGACAAAACAAATAGTTTTTTCGGCAAAATTTATTTATTTTATTCAAAATAGTCTCCTTCTGCTTTAATACAGCTTTTTGCACGGTCCAAAAGCATGTCAAACGAGTGTTTTAGCTCGTTGCCCGTTATGGCCGCCAGTATGCCGGTAAAAGCTTTTTGAATGGCCTTTACGTCTGCATAACGCTTTCCTTTCATCGGAAAATCCATTTTTCCGAAAAGGTAGAAGTCGCACGGTGCCATATCAGCTGAATACGGGGAGTGGTTGATGCTTAAAATGTGATTTTAGGTCAAATAGTGTCGATCGATGAGACGGCGCATTATCATGCAATAAACGCCAACTTCCATCTTCGCGATATTCGGGCCGAACACGTCGAACACGGCGCACCAAATGCTTCAAAACTCCAAGGTAGAATACCGCATTGACGTTTTGGCAGGGTGGAACAAATTCTTTGTGGACAATACCCTTGGAATCATAAAAACAAATCATCATTGTCTTCACTTTTGACTTCTCTAGACGCGATTTTTATACCCTTGCTGAGGGTATTATATTTTTGTCCAAAAGTGTGCAACGCAGTGAAGGAAACATCTCCGACCCTATAAAGTATATATATTCTTGATCAGGATCACCTCCTGATTTGATATGAGCATGCCCGTCTGTCTGTCTGTTTCTACGCGAACTTGTCTTTCAGTTTTAAAGCTATCGTCTTGAAACTTTGCACACACCCTTTTTTCCTTTGCACGCAGTATATAAGTCGGAACGACCGGGATCGGCCGACTATATCCTATAGCTGCCATATAACTGATTGATCGGAAATGGTATAACTTTGGTGTTTTAAGAGTAAGAGAGTTCAAAGCTACTTTTGGCAAAACATTACGACATGCCAAATTTCATAAGTATCGGTCGACTATTTCTTATAGCTGCCATATAACTGAACGATCGGAAATGACCCATATTTCATGTTTTAGAAGATAGAAAGCTGGAACTTGGAACAATTTATATTTTTTGTCAGTTATTCCGACCTACCAAATTTCATAACGATCGGTCGACTATATCTTATGGCTTCCACATAACTGAGCGATCGGAAATGGTATTTGGTAGAAATATCAACTTTCGTTTTTTTGAAGATAGGAACTTGGGACTTTTTATACCCTTGCAGAGGGTATTATAATTTTGTCCAAAAGTGTGCAACGCAGTGAAGGAGACATCTCCGACCCTATAAAGTATATATATTCATGATCAGGATCACCTCCTGAGTTGATATGAGCATGTCCGTCTGTCCGTCTGTCCGTCTGTCCGTCTGTCTGTCCGTCTGTCTGTCCGTCTGTCTGTCTGTCCGTTTCTACGCGAACTAGTCTCTCAGTTTTGAAGCTATCCTCTTGAAACTTTGCACACACCCTTCTTTCCTTTGCACGCAGTATATAAGTCGGAACGGCCCGGATCGGCCGACTATATCCTATAGCTGCCATATAACTGATTGATCGGAAATGGTATAACTTTGGTGTTTTTAGAGTTAGAGAGTTCAAATTTGACACGAGAGCTATTTTTGGCAAACCATTACGACGTGCCAAATTTCATAAGGATCGGCTGACTATATCCTATAGCTGCCATATAACTGAACGATCGAAAATGACCCAACTTTTGTGTTTTTGAAGATAGAAGTTTGGGACATTTTTAGGTTTGGTTTTTGTATTATAATAAATTGGGTTATATTATCATATTCTCATAAGGATCGGCCAACTATATCCGATGTTTGCGATATATATCCGGTTTTAGCTGCAAGGGTATATAAACTTCGGCTCCGCCCGAAGTTAGCTTTCCTTTCTTGTTTTTTTGTATTTTATTGTAATTGATAGGTTTTATTATGATGTAATCATAAGGATCGGCCAACTATATCCGATTTTTGCGGTATATATCCGGTTTTAACTGCAAGGGCATATCAACTTCGGCTCCGCCCGAAGTTAACTTTCCTTTCTTGTTTGGGTGTCGGCTTGTCCGGCGCCTTCCATTCAGCACTCTGGCTTCTCGTTTCGGGATCATATTGAAAACACCACGTTTCGTCACCAGTCACAATTTTGTAAAGGAAGTTCGGGTCTTTTTTTGCCTCTTAAATGATGTCCTTCGAATGTTGAATTCTGAGCAATTTTTGGACGTCAGTAAATTTGTGCGGAACAAACCATGCACACACCTTTTGTAAGCCCAAATGTTCGGTCAAAATGCGATTAATCGATGTTTTGGAGATGTTGAGTTCTATGATTGACTTCAATGATGATTTCGGCAGATTTTTTATGAATTCACGCACAATTTCGATGGAAATTTCGGTGATCACAGATTTTTGTTGGCCCACATCGTCATTTATGTCCTCACGACCACTTTGAAAACGTTGAAACCACTAGTGCACTCTGTTAAGGGATGGGCAATCATCGCCATAAACTTGTTTCATCAATTGAAACTTTTCGGTAAAAGTTTTACTAATTTTAAAACAACATTAAATGTTGGCTCTTTGTTTGAAGCTCATTTTTGCACCGATGACAAAAACATACTGACACTTAAACGCAATAACCTCATTTCCAATAGATAAAATGTCATGCAATTTTTACTGGAAGTCGATAACGGATACCAGATTCTAAGCACTAACCATACAGCTTATAGATAACCTATTTCATACAACGAAAATGGACGAAAAGTTTTTTTTGCGATAAGCCCCAGCAGGCCCCAGAGCGATTTCTTACTCTCTTTCTTACACTCGTCGTTCGTTCATCTTACGTTCATATTCTCATTGAATGCTTTCTGTTTCTCAGTGTCTGAAAGGAGCGTGATGAAGTAGGTTAGTCTGCGCTTGGATATATCTTTGTATGTATGCGTTTCACAGATTCACATACACAGGTGTATGTGTGCGTGCGATTTCGTTTCGAAGCCAACGCAAAAAAGTTTGATTTTTCGAACTTTTCAAGCTGGAAACTTCTAAGAACTTTGAATTTAATTTAAAATAAATTTTATGTAAATTTATGTGAATTTGAAATTTTGATTTCACCGTAATGTTTTTTTTATTAACTTTAAATCTATTTTTTTTACACACCGAGCAAGTTTCACTTTTGTCCCTTGATCTTTTTGTGTATGCGTGTCACAGATTCACATACACGGGTGCATGTGTGCGTGCGATTTCGTTTCGAAGCCACCGCACATAATTTTTGAATTTTCAATTTTTTCAGGCTTGCTACCCTAACAAAATTCGGGTATTTGTTATTTGATAAAATGACGAAAGAAATTAAATTAAATTTTTAATATTTCAGCATACATTTTAAATATATTTAGGAATTTTATTTATTTATTTATTTATTTATGGAGATCTACCAAGTAATTTAAAATTAGTAGGTAGAGGTATGGTTGAGCAATAGCAACGGGGGCCTTCAGCTCGGTTTTTTACAATAATTACATGAGTGTTATTTTATATGTACATTTTGGCTAAATTAAAATTATCCTAAATAAGGTAATATAAGTTTGTATTCTTTAGAAATAGTATTAGTTTTAAAATGTTTGGTAATGTGGGGTGTGAGATGGATTCTAGTGGATTGGAGTTTTTAAATATCAGTTGCCTTTGGTAGTTTAGTGACCTGCAGTTAGTCAGTAAGTGGATAATTGATAAGGCATCGTTGGTATCATTGCAGAACGGACAGGTCCTGGTTACATTTGGGTCCATATAGTGTGTATGTGTAATTTTTGTGTGACCAAGCCTGATCCTTGTTATTATTATCTGGTCTCTACGTGAGATCGATGAGTGAATGTTTTTGGTAATTTGGTGGCAGTTGAGTTGTGGATTATTAATTGTTTGGTACCAGCGTGAAGTTTTGTATATGTTTGATTGCATTTTCAAGACATATGTATTTTTAATATATCTAAATATGTCCTGCGTGTTTAAGTTTTCCATGGTTGTGAGTGGTTGTCTTGTAGCGTTTTTTGCTAGGGCATCTGCAAGTTCGTTTCCAGGTATTCCTACGTGACCGGGGATCCAAAGCAGTTTAAATTTGTTATTGTTATTTTGTAGAAGATTACGCGCCTTTGAGATATAGTGTTCGCTGTTGTTAGTGTTTTTAATTGCGTCGATGGCAGAGAGCGAGTCTGAGCATATGCAAAATTTGCCTCTTTTAGTTTTATGTAATTGCAGTGCTTCTACTATTGCCAGTAGCTCTGCGGAAAACACTGAAGAGTAGTGTGGTAGGTGGTAAACTTTGATGCATTCAGTTTCGTTTGTGATTGCCATGGTAGTGATGCCGTTTGCTTGAGATCCGTCGGTGTAAATGTATGTGTATTTGTTTTCGTCTTTTGACTTAATTTCTGTAAATTTAAATCTGAAAATTTCAGGAGGGTTACTTTTTTTGTCGAATTTATTCAGCGATGTGTTTATTTTTAGAGGGCTTGTGTTCCAAGGCGGTGTGGTTTGTGTAGGTGATGTTAATTGATTAAATGGCAGTTGGTGGACTTGTGAGTATTCTATAGTACGATCTATTGTTGATTTGTATTGTGGACGTTTAGGCGGGCGATATGCTTTTAAAATTTTTAATATTGGGGAGGCTTTGGCGTTAACTAGGGACTTAATGATTTTTGTCGTAAGGAACTCTCGTCTGTCTTCTAAGGCGTCTGCATTTGCTTCGAATAGTATGTTATTTGTGGGGGTGGTTCTGAAGGCTCCGAGGGCAGTTCTAAAGGCTGTGTTAATTGTTGTTTTTACTTTGCGCAGTGTTGTGTATGGGCAGTAGCCGTAGATTGGAAGGCCGTAGTCTGCTTTTGAGATGATGGTTGCTTTTGTTACATTTAGGAGTGTAGAGGTGTTGCAGTTAAACTTTGCGTTTGAGAGACATTTTATTACGTTAATATACTGTTTGAGGTTGTTGTTTAGTAGTTCTGTGTGAGTATTCCATCTGTATTTG